CTTAATGGTTTACGATAATTATCATGTGAAACCAAATTTATTAATAGTCTAATTCATTTTACATGCCAATGAATGAATGTGTTAGTGGATGAATTAATGATGGAATTAATGAGTGAAGGAATGAGGGATTGTATGATTGAGTTAAAGAATGAATTAAGAAATGAAAAATTAATAGTATAGTATGTACTGGGATATAAACACGCTGGGAGCTGTATCTTTTCTTCAATACTGAGTATAAAACTAGAAGATATTTTGATTACAAAATACAAAGAAAGGTATGGAGCGATGTTTAGTGTTGAGTGTATGACGTCAATATCAGGAAAAAACTTTAGCCAGTGATTATTAGACCTTTAAGGATTATTCCAGGAAAGATTCAGCTGAATTAAAATTTTTCGTGTTCCCCTTTAAATCCAAGGTCCTATTGTATGTACATACAAAAAAAGTTGTCGTGGACCGGCTCAAGCATACACGACTGGTCCGGAAGGGAGCTGTATGGAACATAATTGAACTGCTTAATTATTCGCCCTGAATTAGTTCTCGCTTGCTAACGAAATAATAATTGTGATTAACAACCCATAAATCGCGGGCATATTTAAAATCATGTGTTTCGGCAGGGGTGGTGCAGCGTTTTTTTAAGTTGGAGGGGGGGGGCTTGACTTTGCGCGGATGGGACACGGGTAACCCATTGGGAAAACCGAATTATTTATTTGTGTGCCTCTCGTCACTTCGTTTACTAATAATTACAGTTTGATAATAATACATATCTACCAAAACCTCCTAGCTTTTATTAAAAACCGGGGGGGCTCCCCCTTCGTCTCCATTCGGGTTTTGCTAAAGGAAAACAATGGTTGTTATCACACATTGTACTCACTATCTGAATTCTCATTGGTTTTGAAAACCTAGCGGATAATCCTAGCTATTTATATTGGATTCAGTTTTGATGATATCTGGAATTATCTGTATAAATATGTATTACAGGTAAATCAATGAAGAATGATAAAAGTCAGCGAAGGCACTCAGTATGCTGTAAACAGGATGTTCCTGAAGATAGCAGTAAACCAGTGGATGTAAAAGGTAGAATATATTTCACACAAATATCGTTTTTTCTCTTTGTTGGTTGGCTGTTGGTGTTGATTCTCTGTAAACAAAGTGTTGCATTCTAGCATTCTTTTAGTTTTGTCTTTTTGAACAAATAGCCTGCGTAGCGGAACTCTGGTGAGGAACCCCACTCCTCGCCAGAGGGTCCTACGCAGGCTATTTCTTAAAGTGCTATTATGATCAAATTTCTGACTTGCTTTTTTTTTCTTGTCTGGATTAAAAGATCTTTGATAATGAATTGGAATGGCACTTCTTTGCAGTATACTTGCAATCAAAACATGTAACATGACAATACTCAAACTATAGTGATTGCTATGGCAACTCACTGTTGTACAGGGCCCTAAGAACAATTTTAGCCTTTCAGCAATTGCTTGAGCAGAAAATCGTTGGTCTACATTTTTGTGTATGACCACAACAGATAATTTAATATAGCCTTGAAACAAAAACGTGAATTATAGTTAGGAGTGGCCTGGAACCAAGGCTGTTGCTATGACAACTCATCTACTTAATTAATTTTGGTAATAAATTTGGTTGATTTTGTTTGAAATTGGGCTGAGATGTAGCTTACCATAATCCTATGCTGGCTATGAGTATTGAGAATATGAAATTGGCAGCCATTAGTTTTAAACTCCAATTTCTTTTAAAGGAAAAAATATATTTGGAAAAGGAAATGACATTTCATCATATGTTTTCAGAAATATACTGAAATCTATGTTGAAACCAAAAAAAATTTTTTTCCTTCAAAAGATATTGGAGTTTATAAAATGGCGGCCATTTTCCTGATTACGTCATATTCTCGATACTCGGCCATCATGGAATGATAAGCAAACTGTGAGTTGACGATATGACGTCATCAACCTCCTAATTAGCATCAGCTTAAAACTTGAATATCTCTCTAACAAGAAATGCTACCAAGAAATGGAGACATTTAAAATTTGATCATTTTATTAAAAACTGAGGCTTGACTGTATGTTCTAGACTATTGCTCAAAAATTAATGTATTTCCAAATATGTATGTCAGGTGTCCCAGTGAAGGGTACTACAAGAAAGCGAAGGCACTCAATATGCTGTGAACGAGATGTTCCTGAAGACATGGATGTGAAAGGTAGCATATATTTCTAACGACGTATCGTTTTGTTGCTTTGTTAGCTGGTTCATGGTGTTGGTTGTTGATTGTTGATTGCGGTACCGACACATTTCCTTTCAAATAGCAAATTAGAATTTCGTGGTTTCAATATGTTTCTTATTTTAAATAAGAATTCTAAAATCAAAAATGCTAAATTCCTAATTTCTTTTTTAATACCTATAAGACAATATACTAAGACTTTGCCCTCTCACTAATATCGAGGTACTATTTCCATTTCTGATGTTCATTTTGACACAACTTCTCGTTTTCCCTATTCCCTACTGTATCCCTGGACCATCAA